GCAAGGCTGGGGGAGGGACAGAGGGAAACAAGCAGCTCTCTATATGAAAAGATGAAACCACAGTGTGTGGGGGCGGGGGAGAGCAGAGGAGAAGGCTCAGCAGGTTGAGAGCTTACCATACAAGCAAGAGGACCCGTGTAAAATCCGGGCATGACAAAGCATGACTGTAACTCGGTAGTCAGAGATAGTGATAGTCGGGTTCCTGGAGTTTGCTGGTCAGCAAGCCTAGTCAAAGCGGTTAGCTCTAGGTTCAGTGAAAAGAATCTGTCTCAAAAAAAATAAGGTGGTGGCCTGGGCATGGTGGTACACACCTTTAATCCCAGCACTCAGGAGGCCGAGGCAGGGGATCTCTGAGAGGAAGATACTCAGTGTTGACCCCTGGCCTCTACATCCACCCACACTTGTGTGCATACCCATGAACATGTACACATACGTGCAACTCACGCACACGCGAGCGCACACACACACAAATAAGGAAGGGCAGCAGCAGAGGAGGAGGAGGGTCCCAGCTGTTCTGATCTGGCGCTAGAAGGCTTTACACGTCTTAGGATGTACTCAGACCACACAGTCACTGCAGAATCCTGACCCCTCCCAATTTCCCAAGCCTTCTTGAAAATGGCGGCTCTTCCCCAAGGCCTTCAGCTCTGTTTTATCTGTGCATGCAGCCTGTGGCTGATGAGAGTGAGCGGAACTCCAACATGATCACACAGTTGTCAAGAGGTCAGCCTCTCCTTTGGTCAAAGCCCTTGAACATAACTGAGTTCTTAGCTACTCTTTGGTAGAACCAGTTAAGGAGCATTCACTCTGAGCCGCAATGCCTCGGCCTCTTTTCCCAGCCACAATGCTTGGGATTATGGGAAATTCCTTAAAGGTCATGATTGGATTAAAGGAGAATAGCATTAATGTAAGTCTGAATTTTAAAAAAACATGCTCTTCAACGTTGGTAGTTTGCTATCATTAATTACTGATTGCTCATAGCACTTTTTATGACCAACCTCAAGGTCACGGTGGTCTAGATGGCAAAAGGAAGTCATGGGGAGCGGCTAGGGGCTTGCGGTCACCAGGGAGCAGTCACGCACCACCCAGGACTGCAGGCTCTTTCCACATTGCTGGTGAGCCACACACAGGACAGAACTTTGCATGGCAGGGCTCCCACAGAGCCATGGACTACTGTCTCGTGACTCTAATTCTAAACCTTCTGATGGGTGCTTAAAGGGCATGTCTCCCTTGTCACCTACCTTTCTGCTGGGAGCTAAGCAGAAAGCCCCGGGAAACAGGCTAAGGGAGAAGGGACCTCTTTCTGCCTTTCTAGCTGTCCCTGTTCGGGTCACCCCAACAGTAACGGCATAGCAGTGGATTCCAGCCTCTGGTTTCCTTCACCAATCCCAGAACAGTCTCCATGTGTGTCCTTTGAGTCCAGAGGCAGCCAGCGGACATGCAGTATCCCTGGACATGCTCAGTTCCCAGAGTTTCCCCTCTGAGCTCAAAAAGCAGCAGCACTCTGGGAGCTCCCTCTGAACTCTAACCCGGTGAAACACACTCCCCAAACTTGTGGGTGATGGTAGCCAGCTCTCATCTTTCCATCCCCGCCCGGAACCTGAAGTTACTGCCTCCTGGTTGCTTCAGTGCAACACACCAGCACCTGCTGAAGGCACCCCTGGGTGAATTCTCTGTGTTGAAAGGCTAGTCTGCTTTTCCGCTCTCCTGACAGCACCCTAGCTCAGATGCTGAGCAACAAGTTTTCGAACTAGAAAAATGCAGTACGCTTTTTGAAAGAATGCAATTAGGTAGGCAACCCAGTCTTTACAAATGTGTAGTCTGAACCTAAGAATTCAGAAAGTTAACTTTTAAAAATCTTTAATAATGTTTTATAGGTAGCTAAGGGTTTTACATTTTGACAGATGAAAACTTTTGAGAATCTGTTACTCTAGGAAAAGGTAAAACCATGAAAACAGAGGAAAGTTTTGGGGTATTGCATTTGAGATTGAGGTTATTCTAACTGCCAAAGCTTGAGTA